TAGTTTAAATATATTTTTTCACACTAATATTTCTTAGAGAATAATTAATTTTACAGATGCTACTAAGGAACATTAATTAATATTGAGATAAACTTTCTAAATAGCTAATTGTTAAAAAATCTTTCAAATTCTTAGATTGGAAATATAGAACACACATTGATAGAAATGATTAGAAAAATTTTTTGTTAGGTTGTCAGAAAATCTCCTCTTGGACTTAGGAAGAAGCTGCCATTTATAAATAAGCTAGTTTCTTTGTTACTTAATGAGCCAAAGTTACATTTAGAAAACATTTACAAAATAATAGCTATGTTTTCTTCCCTGTTTTAGAAACACCAGACATGCTGATGGAGTTTTCACCAGTGACTTTAGTAAACTCTTGGGTCAACTTTCTGCCAAAAAATACCTTGAGTCCCTTATTGGAAAAAGAGTTAGGTAAAGAGAATTTATAATTTTTATCAAAGTCATTATCCTTATTTAATCTGTGAATAGTTATTTTTACTATAAACAATGTATTGTTTAAAGTTGATAATCTTGTGATAATGTTTGATTTAGTTAAATAAAAGTAATTTATATTCATGAACAAAATACACTAGGCTCATGGATTAAGGAAATAAGTCTTTCTAGCAATATCATATTTGCCTCCAGACTTCTTTTTCTTAAATAGCAGTCAAGTATATATCTGCTATTAAATCGAACTGGACACATTAAAAGATAAATGAGACATAGTAAAAACTGAAGCAAATTTTTAAGGTAAGCTATAGGACTTGTTTTTTGCACTTCCTGCTCAAAGTCAACATGGGTGTTGATTCTTTCTTTAAATGGCTGACAGGTGAATAATTGGGTGGCACCACTGAAAGAGGCATGGCTCTAAAGAAGCATTAATATTCAAAGAACTTTTCCTCCTTATGAATATAATTTCAAGTATCCTCAATTTTTTTGGTAAATTATTTGCTTAGTCAGTATAGAAATGTCTTAAGGCAGTCCCAGTAAATGCAAACCTTATTGAATTATTCCCTGTTCCACTAGCCTTAGGCCCAAGGTATTTTGCTTTCAGTTTTTTTTTTTAATTAGAAAATGACTTTTTTTTTAAGTGTAACTTCAAAAAATTGAGAACATTGACACTTTTACCAGTCCTTGTTAAAAGTCTTTGATTTCCTTTTGTCACATTCCTTAGCAACAACATCTCAGAAGACAATGTACCAATCAAACGCCACTCTGATGCAGTCTTCACTGACAACTATACCCGACTCAGAAAACAAATGGCTGTAAAGAAATACCTGAATTCAATTCTGAATGGGAAAAGGAGGTAAAGGAATAGAGAACTTACTAAAACAATAAACAGTGCATGGCTTACACAATACAACCTCCCTATAGAGATTTACCATCCTACTCTGGGGTTTACATATGTTCACATGCTATGTGAAGCAGTAATAGTCAACCTTCACATTAGGCTACCCTGGAGAATTGGAAAAAAAAAAAAGAAAAAAAAAAAAAATCCTGACATCTGGGCCTTAGCCAAATCCAACTGTCAGGAAAGAAGTGTCTATGAGTTGGATCCTTGACACTGCGATAGTTTAAGCACAGTTGAGTCTACTGGACTGCCTTGGCTAAGAATGATGGCCACACTGAATCTGGGAAAAGATTTTGTCTAAAGAGCTGGTTTGAAAAGGAAGAAAGAAAAGTACAGTCAACCACTAATTTGGTTCCACATGGAATCTTTGATGTCTGTTTTTCCCTGTGTGTGCACATTTTATAACCTTATCTTACCAAACACATCCATGAATTATTTTGTATGTTTAGATTCTGTAAAACTAACATGTCTCTATGAAGTGTACATATATTGGAGCAGGATACCTAGGAAGTGGGGCTATCTCTCTTATTTTCTGACTGATTTTGTTTTTATGATGAGCTTTAAGGATAATTCTGTTTGGGTGAGAAGATCAGACAAGATGACACTCTTTACCACCGATTATAATTCTGTGGGAATGACTGAGCAACAATCTATACATAATAATAACTTTGCACATAACATTCACTAGCCTCAGAGATTGTTGTTTTGCCCAAGTGCACTTCACAGAGCACAGGGAACAATGCAGGGCACACAGTTGTTTTGTTTTTGTTTTGTTTTGTTTTAGTACACCAAAAGCATACAAAGTGAAGGCTTCTGAAGTAGTTCAACAGACCTCAACGTTTTACATTTCTTTTGGTTGTTGAGAATATACACAGCAAAACATACACCAATTCAACTATTTGTGTGTGTACAATTCAGTGACACTGATTACACACATTCTCACCTTCCTTCTCTGACTTGTTCTTCCCTCATTAACATAAGCTCGCTGCCCTTCAAGGTCTCTATCTGACCTTCCCAGCTGCCATTAATCATTTCTTCAGAAGCTTTCTTGCTTAAGAGGCATAACATAGACAACATTCTTTTTCTGGTCTGCAGCACTGAGGGAGAATCTCTTGGCTTTCCTGAAGAGTTCGAGAAATGATGAAAACCTGCTGGAGCAAGGCTGCTGACAACCCTCCAGTGGGTGGGTGGGTAGACCTCTGCTTTCTTATTGTATTTTTGCAATAACTACCACAGCACATAACAACACCACCACCTAATTATTTAAGTGGTAAGAGTCACTTGGCAGGAAACGTTTTAGGCTTAAATAATTTCTCATGATGAGACATCATCTAAAAAGGCACTTCTTCCTGAAGTGAAGGCCAATCCAGTGAACAGCTTAAAGTTACTTATGCAATGTTCTAATCACATAGGAGAGAAAGCTCCCAATGAGCAAAGAGTTTGATATCTGAATGTTTCTCCTAACTGACTCAGACATGTTCCTGTTCTTGAGTTGAGACATAAAACAGAGGAGCGTGACTCACACTAATGAGAAAAATTGGCTTTCTTTTTGAGAATCAAGCCATGCTGTCTTTATTAATTTAGGGTTTAGTCCCACAATTGACTGTTATCACTTCATTTAATTGAAGTACAGGCCAACGCAATGGCTCACTATCATGAAAATACCAAGGCACTTGGGATCTAATTGTGTTCCTTGAAATATAACAAAGCTCTTGCAACAAAAGTCAGATTAGGCTTATTTGACCTATTGTGAGTGTAAGTACCATGACTCCAATAGCAATCATTGTAAAATTTTTCTTTTTGAGTAATGAGGACAATAGTACATTATTTTCCTTTATGGTGTGATGTGCTTGTTATTGAAATTGCTTTTATATAAACATTGGTACAAGACATGCTTATTTCTCAGCTTATTTTATATTAACATTCACATTAGCTCTTAAAAATCCATTTGTAATAGTTGGTAAGTGCTTAAAAGAAATTCCATGCCAAAACTACATCAGAGATTGGCAAATTCTTTCTTTAAAAGGCTATAGAGTACATATTTTGAGCCTTGTGGGTCATATGGTCTGTGTTACAGCTAATCAACTCTGCTATTGTAATGTGAAAGCAGTCACTGATAATATATAGAAAAGAATGGGTATTGCTTCCAATAAAACTTTATTTGCAAACCAAGTGGCAGCCTGATTCTAGCCCTTGACTAGCTCACCCTCAACCTGAAGGCAATTCATGGTTTTACCTCAGTTTCTGGTTAACAAGGTTTCATGAAAGTCATCAAGATTGGACAGGTTCAGTAGGAAGACATCTGCTCAATTGTCTTTGTCCACTGACGACCCCTTCTACTCTAAGGGGGATACTGGGCCACTGGCTGTCCACCCAACTCCTTATAATGAACTCTCATTTCAGAGAAACAAGTCTCTTTGCTTACAAGTCTCTTTGCTTAGGAGGCTTTGTGGCACAGTGACTAAAGCACTCAGCTGCTAGTCAGAAGTCTGGTGGCTCGAACCCACAGCCACTCCACAAGAGAAAGATGTGGCAGTTTGTTTCCATAAAAATTACAGCCTTGGAACCCCTATGGGGTAGTTAGTTCTACTTTGTCCTATAGGTTACTATGAGTTGGGATCAACTCAATAGCAGTGGGTTTGAATTTTAGCTCAAAGAAGAAAGTTTATTACAGCCAGTTTCTTGAAAACAAGTATTTATCAGAGGAAGTTTTCTTCAAGTTAAGAAATACAATCGGTATTAAAATATAAAAGGAGATTAATCACTCTTCTCTATGTGGTAAGTTTAACATGAGTTTACATCTCTTTTTTTTTTTTGAAGGAATGGCTTTGGATAATTTTTTGTTAAAGCAGGGAATCCATTTGTAAGAATTCTGAATGGATGATTATTAATGACCAATTAGTGAGCTCTTTCAAATTCCAGTTGCTTTGCTGACAGTCAGTCCTTGGAAGGCATCCTTCTGACAAAACAGATGATTCTCTACGGTAGAATGACAAGGGGCAAAAGGAAAGTAATCTTCATCAAAGGAGTTGAAGAAGTGTAAGTGAATGATACTAAGAAGGTGTAAATAAAAAAGGTGATGCTTAATGTAACAATTTTTTCTTTTTCAGAATCCCAGAAGGAAAACGATAAATATTTTGAGTTCTACATAAGTATTCAAGAAAACAACTTCAATATCAAAACCAAATAAATTATATTGTGTTGTGAATATTGTGATTTATTTTATTCTACTGTAATAACTGTGATGTTTACATTGTAAATATTATTGTAGAGTCTGAAATTGTCTTTAACTCATGAAAATCCTGTACTTCCACATGCTCTGTATCCTTTCTAACAAAAATACATTTAATGATAAGTAGATACTAGGTTAATTCCAATCATATGAGGCTCTTTGGAGGGGTAATAATAGAGCAAAATTGATGTGTTTATTTATAGTGTGTACTTACTTATCCATTCAGAAGAGCAGAGCAAATTATCAGTGTGTCTACATTTGAATGTTAAGCAGACAGCATAGTCTGTTAAATAGACCTCAAAATGTCTAAAAGAATACTAAAAACAATGATAAAAAAAAAATTCTTCAAAAAAATATATTCACACATGTGCTTTTCCACATTCCTAGGTAATCTTTATTTTGAAAGGGATTATAAATCTCTCAAACTGGGATCTTAAATTGTCAAAGTCTGTCTTCTGCTCTAGTGTTTTGCTTAGAAGTACGGCCCCTACTTTGGGAGCATGGACTTTCCCTTTATGTTTGTGTTAAGTGTGTGTAAAACGAAAACTGAATGGAATTCTTGTTTCTCAGTAACAAATTGTTTGTTTGTTTCCATAACCATTCAAAATACACCTGTGGTCATATCAACTTCCTTATAGTGAAAATACATTTGGAGACACAACTATTTTTTCAAAATGATTGTAAGAAATTAATTATAGAAAATAAAGACATTTGATTATCATTGCAGATGCATTGTATTGTTTTGGTTTTTAAAAAAGATTCAGCAGCAACTCTTTCAAGCTCTAAAGTTCCAAGTATAAGGTAGTTTTTGTGGTATTTGAAGTAGGATTATGTTTGATTGCATTCAAGACTAAAGTAACAGTGATTTGAATTGAAAAAAAAAAAAAAAAACTTTATTATCCAAGGCCAGAAGTCAAATGTCAAGTATGACGATTCTGCTCCATGAAGCCCTTGGTAATCTAAACCATGTCACCTTACCCCTCATCTTTGAGAGTGTGGTCCTTCTCCTCATAATCCAAGATTGCAGCTATAGTTCCAGCCATCAAATAGGCCTTCATGGCTGCAAGGTAGATAGATGAACTGGCAGGGAGAAAAGGGAGCAAAGGGTGTATCTTTCAACTAGAGATCTTATACTAATATCCCTTTGTCTAGAACATAGTCCTGTGACCACAGTCATTTGTAAGAAAGGCTGAGAAATGTAGTCTTTTTCTGACTGGTCATGTGGCTCACTAGAAACTGGTGCCCTAGTAATATAAAAGAAGGAAAGACTTCACCACAATAAAGCAACAATAAAAAAGTAAAAATAAAACAAAAAGAATAGATTTATGTGGTTTTTTTTTTTTTTTTTTAATTTCAGGCTACGGAATTTAAATTCTCACCATTAAAGAAATGGCAAAGAAAATTATAGTTTGACCCTAATCATTAATGAAGAAGCATTATCATTACAAATCTTTGCACAATTTCATGTGCTACAGTCAGAACTATTGGGTACTTAAAGAGCAGAGACCTCTCTACAAAAAATTGCACCTATGGCAAGCACTGATATTTTGCCTCTGTCCAGTCATCTGACACTTTTAGATCACTTTAACATAGTATCAGTTCAGAAATAAAAGTGAAGTTCATTCATCTTTTACTTAACATACGGGGTCACATGAGTCTGAATAGACTTAATGATAACTGTTCTTGTTTGTTTGCTTCAGGTAAGTTACCTCCATGGTTGTGGGAGGCAGAATAATGGTCCCTGAAGATGTCAATTTCCTAATCCCTACAATTGCCTTACATGGCAAAAAGGAGTTTGCAGATGCAATTAATTGAAGGATTTTAAAAATGGGAGATTACCCTGAGTTATCCAAGTGGGCCCAATGTAATCACAAGGGTATTTAAGAAAATGGAAGAGGTGGACAGGAGAGTCATATAAGGAGATGTGACAATGAAGCAGTTGTAGTGGTGCCATTTTTGAAAGGAAGGAGCCAAAGAATACAAGACTTCAGAAGGATTACAACCCTACTGAAACCTTAATACTAGACTCTGACCTCCAGCTGTAAGATTATAAATTAGTAATTCTCAGCCACTGCTGCTGTTGCTAGTTGCTGTTCAGTTGATTCTGATTCATGGCAACCCCATGCATGTAAAGTTGAACTGGTTCATAGGACTTTCAAGGCTGTGACATTTCAGAGCAGATCACCAGGACTGTCTTCCAAGGTTTGAAGTGTTTAACCATTTATGCAGCTCAGGGACTCCTTCTAAGCCTCTAGGTGTGTGTTAACTTGTTACTTCAGCAACAGGAGAGTAATTCAATCGTCCTCCAATTACAGTAATTCTTAAATCTGGCATCTGTTGTTTTAGGGAAGGGCCATACACCAACTTCTGATGAATAAAAAGTTCCTTGAGACTTTACTATAATCCTAGGGAGAATAAAACAAACCAAACCCACTGTCATTGAGTTGATTCCAACTCATAGTGACCCCCATTGGGTGTCTGAGGCTGTAAATCTTTATGGAATTAGGTTACCCCATCTTCCTTCTGTGGAGTGACTGGTGGAATTGAACCTCTGACTTTCTGGTTAGCAGCCAAGTGCCTTATCCACCACGCCACCAGAACTCCCTCAAGGATCAAAACCTGAATTTGCTGAGGAAATCCTGAATTGACTAAAATAACTATGAATTTACTGAGATTTTCTTGTTAACTATCTAATACAATTTCATAACACTTAATTGTGCTCATGAAGAGACTGTATATGAATCAAGAGGTAGCTGTTTGAACAAGAAAAGAGGATACTGCAAGGTTTGAAATCAGGAAGGTGTGATCAGGATTGTTATCTTTAGCCATACTTATTCAATCTATATGCTGAACCAATAATATCCAAGAAGGTGGACTATATGAAGAAGAATGTGGCATCAGGATTGGAG